GGGGTGGGATAAGAGGAAATGTGGGCTCTTCCATATCACTTTTAACTTAAATCAGGACAATTTAGCTCTACCCATTGTTTGGATGGGAGATGACTGGCTTTTTGAGAAACACTATTAGCTGGGATATGTTTTCAGAGACCTTGATGTTTTTTTTGTCCCTCTCTACCTTTGTAGACTCCAACCGGGAAGATTTTGACCCTGCTCCTGTAAAGAGCAAATTTGATTCTCTTGACTTTGACACATTGTTGAAACAGGCCCAGAAGAACCTCCGGAGGTAACCCTGGGCCCTCTCAAACTACCCACCCCCTTTCTTTGGAGGTGTCCAACCTCTTCTATCCCCCCCTCCCCTACTCTAGGGGAGAGAGCTGCTAGTGAGGAGATGACTTTTATAAGAAATGGAAAAAAAGTGAAATAAAAAATGTGTTAAATCAGATTTTTTTAAAGGGTATTGGTTTTTTTTTTATAATAGGTATTGAAACAAGTTCAATTGCATTCCTATGTAAGATGGTTGGGGCTGAGGGAACATCTAAGTCACTATGCAGACTAATAAATATGAACTAGAGAGAACTCATGTTATTGTACTTCTTTTTTGTCGTGCTCGTGCCAAACGTATTCACTATTCTTCTATGAACACAACTCACGTACATGCCTACTTCTGTTAGGCTTCTAGTGCTTCTAATTAGGTCCAAAATCCTACTGGATTTAAAAGTTGGCTCCTCAGGTACATTGTCTGAAATAAGTCAACTTAGTATAGTGCTGCTCAGACTTGAAGACATTTTAGTTGTAGTTGTCTGGGGGTCTCTGTGTATGTATGTATGTCTCTCTCATCTCCTCCCCCTCTCTCCTCTCCCTCTCCACAGCTCCATCATCCTCTCCCTCCCTAACTCTCTCCTCCTCTCCTCTATCTCCCCTCCCTTCTTATTTGTTTGCCCACTGCAGCTTGAACTCTGGGCCTTGCTTAGCTTTTTTTGAGGGGGGAAGGGGTTGGTTGTGGGGTTTGAACTCTGGGCTGGATGCTGTCCCCGAGCTCTTCACTCAAGGCTAGCGCTGTACCACTTGAGCCACAGCACCACTTTGGTTTTTAATTGGAGATAAGAGTCTTAGGACTTTCCTGCCTGGGCTGTCTTGGAACTGCGATCTTCAGGTTTGAGCCTCCTGAGTAGTTAGGATTACCGGTGTGAGCCACTGGTGCCTGGTCAACTATTTTTGCTCATAGCTGAGGCCCTACCATTTGAGCCATTTTTTTCTGGCTTGCTGATTAATTGGAAGTAAAAGTCTTTCTGACTTAATTTGTCTGGGCTATCAGCTCTTCAGCTCAAGGCTAGTGCTCTACCACTTGAGCCACAGTGCCACTTCCGGCTTTTTTCTTTTTGCTTATGTGGTGCGGAGGAATCGAACCCAGGGCCTCAGGCATGCAAGGCAAGCACTCTACCACTGAGCCACCTTCCCAACCCCTAGCCCCTTTGTTTTTGAGACAGGGTTGATGCTGAATTGTTCAAGGATCTTCTAGCCTGGCTTCAAACTGGCATCTCAGCCTCCTGAGTAGCTAGAATTAAGCTTAATTTGAGCACAATACTCTTCATGCAGCAGATGCTTTCTTTTAATTTTTTTATAATGCTATGGTTTGAATTCTGGACCTGGTTGGTGGCAGGCACTTTTGTTGTTTTATTTTTTATTTTGGGTCCGGTTGTGGGCCTGAACTCTGAGCCCCTCAGCTCTTCAGCTCAAGGCTAATGCTCTATCACTTGAGTCACAGCACCACTCACTTCTGGCTTTTTTTTGCTTATGGGTACTGAGGATTTGAACCCAGGGCCTCAAGCATGCAAGGCAAGCGCTTTACCACTGAGCCACCTTCCCAGCCCGGTGGCAGGCTCTTTTACTGTTGAGTCAGTCTCTTTTTTTTTGCTGGTTATTTTTTATTATTATTATTTTTTGGGTCCTGAACTCTGGGCCTGGGCTCTGTCCCTCAGGGCTAGCGCTCTACCGCTTGAACCACAGCACCACTTCCAGCTTTTTTTTCTTTTTGCTTATGTGGTGCTAAGGAATCGAACCCAGGGCCTCAGGCATGCAAGGCAAGCGCTCTACCACTGAGCCACCTTCCCAGCCCCATTGCTGGTTATTTTTGAGAAGTTATCACTTCTGCCTAGTCATGGCCATCAATGGTAATTAGGATAACAAGTCCAGTTCTCAAAATGGGTCTCAAAAACTTCAACCTAGGCTGACCTTGGACTCTGTTCCTACAGTCTCACAAATAGCACCTGGTTGTGATTTTTGTGTGTGTGTGGGGGGGTCTGGTCGTGGGGCCTGAGCTCTGGGCCTGGGCGCTGTCCCTCAGCTCTTCAGCTCAAGGCTAGCGCTCTACCACTTGAGCCACAGCGCCACTTCTGGCTTTTTTCTTTTTGCTTATGTGGTATTAAGGAATGGAACCCAGGGCCTCATGCATGCAAGACAAGAGCTCTACCACTGAGCCACCTTCCCAACCCCTAGCCCCTTTGTTTTTGAGACAGGGTTGATGCTGAATTGTTCAAGGATCTTCTAGCCTGGCTTCAA